AGGCTGAAAAAGTAAATTAGCAGTTTTAGCCTTGTAGGTATATTGATACATGTAAGCTGGACTTAAATGAAAAATTTTTTGTTGTTGTAACTGCAAAGATATTTTTATAAAAAACAATAAATTTCTGCTGAAACACTGCACAAAAATTTTATAGACAGTCATTTTGGTGTCACCCCCTCTGACAGTGTCACCTGGTGCAGTGTGCACTTCCCTAGTGATGCCACTGCTCAGGGGACATTTGGCAATGTCTGGAGACATTTTTAGTTATCACAACTGGGGGGAAGTTGCTGCTGGTTATCTAGTGGGTAGAGGTCAAGGATGCTGCCGAACATCCTGCATTGCAAAGGACAGCCTCCACAGCAAAGAAGTATTCAGCACAAAATGCCTACCGTGCCACCAATGTTGAAAATCCCGGGATTAAATGAAGCTCAAGGTATGAATCTCCCCAGACACATAAAAAGACCCTGTAGCTGTTTGCCCAGGGAATCGGGACAGTTCTAGAACAGGCAGAGAGGGGGAGATGTATGCTAAGTCCAGCCATTCTCACTCAAAATGGTCCTTTGAGGATGGCTCAGTTTTGCCAAGGTGGTCCCCTAAAATTTAGCAATACCTCAATACTCTTTCCAAAGGTAGGGAATCAAAAGTCTGCCAGAGTATTTGCTTCCCTGTGGGAACTTTCCACCAGGACTCGCTATCCCAAATCCTAGGCCATGCCAGCCCTACCTGGCAGGAGGGTTCTTATTCATGAATAGCTCAATAGCACGCTCATCCTCAGCATCCACGACCACCTCTGCATGGTGGCCCACCCCTGTCATTATGGCAGCCTTCTCCAGGGTGGGCCACTCCTCGTCCTCGTCATCTGATCCATCCTGTGGCACTCCTGGACCTAGAAGAAGGAAGAAGAGATAGATGAGCATGGCAGGGAGTGGGTGAGGGGTTCAGAATCCATTTAACTTTAACAAGTATCTAGTACAGGCTTGTGTGCCTTGTAATAGATACAGATGTGTGCAGTGAAACAGATGATGTACACATTCCCTTCCTGTCCCCAGCAGGTGCAATCTTGCTTGAGAAACAAAATGTACACATATGAAACAATGAAACAGTAATACCAACAAATAATGATCAACACAACATACTCAGTTATGTAGCAGGATTGTTCTAAACTGCTCTAAACACTGTTAACCAGTTAATCCTCATAACCCCAAGAAGTGTCAGATGGGGACGCTGAAGCACAGAAAAGTAATCTGCCTAAGGCAGGTCGTCTGGGTCTAGATTCTGTATTCCTCACCACTATTCTACACACATGGTAGAGAGCTTGATTATATGTCAAAATGAGTGGTAGAGACTGTATGTACCATAGGCATTTGGATGAAGATGAGCACTAAGGACAGTTAGGCTCTGAACAGGCAGTTTAGGAGCTGGAGGAGGGCATTCCGGACCCGGGTAACAGCACTAGCAAAAGGACCTTGTTACAAATGTCTGCTAGGCAGTGGCAAGAAATAAGTCTAGATGGGTAAACTGAAGTCAGACTGTGGTGGGCCTTAAAGGCCAGGCAGCGGAATTCAGATTTCAACCAACCAGTCAATTTGAATAGTTGAGTTTTGGAAGGCTACAGCTGGCTGGGCATCTGGGAGGGGGTGTAATATCCAAGTGGGGAGATAAAACGCTCCATGCGAGCAGGTCACTAAGAACAGTGGCAGTGTATGATGAAAGAGCTCAATAAGGATGGTGAGACATTTTGTCTCCACATGCCAGCAACTCCCAAATCTGTACTTGTAGGTGGATCTCCTTTCTTGGCTCTAGGCCCTAACTCCAACTGCCTTCCATACAGCCATTCTTAGATGACCCACGGGCACTTCAAACATCACGTCATCAATGAACTCATTCTCTTTCCCTCCTGAGTCTGTACCACTCACTGTGTTCCATTATTTCAGTAAATGGCACCATCATCCCCCCAATGCCGTATCAGAGCCTGGGAGGCAGTCTTCCTCGTCACGCATCCTCACCCTCAACACCCAATCAATTACGAAGTCCTATTCTAGTCTACCTCATAAAATATCTCTCAAATCCTTCACAGCCCTATCTAAACCTAGACCAGCATCATCTCTTGCCTGGGTTAATTCAAGAATCTTCTAACTGGTCTCCATACTTCCAACCTTACTTCCCTCCAACTCATTCTCCACTCTGCAGCCAGAATAACCTTCTAGAAATACACATTTGATCGGTCCTGTACTCAATACATTCTCCAATAGTTTCCCATTACCTTTAGGATACCTTTAAATCCCAGGCATGGCCTCCAGGTCTTTTGTAGACTTGGCTCCTACCTACCACACCGTCATTAATCCATACATTTAGCAAACACTGGGCGCCTACTATATGTGACGCACTGTTCTGGGTGCTGGGAATAGATCAGTGAAAAAGAGCAACAGAATTTTTTGTCCTTGTAGAGCTTACATTCTCATTGGAGGAGACAGGCAAAGAACAAACATAACAAGTAAAATATACTGGGTTAAAAGAAGACAAAGGCTATGGAAAGAAAAAAAGGGTAAAGTACAGAAGTTGGAGTACAGTTGGAGCAGAGTAGAGAATGGATGAGGTGTTGCAATTTTAAATAGAGTGGTCAGGGTAGGCCTCTCTGAAAAGGTGAAGGGTTGAGGAAGTGAGCCTATAGGTGTATGGTAACAGAACAGCCCAGGCAGAAAAAATAACCAGGGCAAAGGCCCTGAACGGCCATGTTTAAGGAACAGTGAAGCCTATATAGGTGTGGTGGAGTGGACAGAGCAAAGGGGAAAGTAGTGTAAGAGGCCAGACTGGCAATGGGAGTGAGGGGGCTGAACAGATAGGGTTTTGGAGACAATTGCAATCCTCTAGCTGTTGAGTTGAGAATGGACTGGGGGATGGGGTACGAAATACTAATTCGGAGGCTACTGCAATAATCCAGCTGGAGAGATCATGGTGGCTTGGAACAGAGTGGGAGGGTGGTGTTCCAAGGTGGTAAGAAGTAGTCTGACTCCAGATACATTTTGAAGGTAGAGTCAAACATGATTTCTGGACAGATCGGGTGTGGTGACAGAGAGGGGTCTGAGGTTTCTGTCTTGGAACAATGAGAAGGATATCATGCTACAAACTGAGATGAGGAAAACAGCGGAAGGAGCAGGTTTAGGGAGGAAGGTCAGGATTTCAGTTTTGGACGTGTTAAATTTGAGATGTCTGTTAGACCTCCTGGAGCCCTGGTGGTGCAGTGGTTAAGAGCTCAGGCTGCTAACCAAAACGTCGACAGTTCAAATCCACCAGCTGCTCGTTAGAAACCCTATAGGGCCGCTATGAGTTGGAATTTACTCCACAGCAACGGGTTTATCAGACCTCCAATTGGAGATGCCAAGTAGGATATAACATTGAATTTGGGTTTCATTGAAGAGATGAGGGCTGGAATATAATTTCGGGAGTAGTCACCAAACAGATGGTATTCAAATCATGAAACCTCATGACATCACTAGAGAAGTAAATGTGTTTAAGAGAAGAGGTCCAAAGACTGAGCTCTTCAATGATCAGAGGTTGGGACAACATAGGAGCCAGCAAAGAAAACTGAGAGGTGAGGTAGTGGTAAAACAGAAGTGTGATGTCTTAGGCTTAGCTAACCCTTAGTCGTTTTTCAGGTCTCAGCTCATAGGTTAATTTGGAAAGCCCTCCCTGACACCCAAGACTATGCTATTCGTTACTGGAGAAACTGTAGTTTTCTTATTACGGAAACTATTATTCTGTCTCTTTGATTGTTTCTCTTCTAGACTACTGGGTCATGAAGTGAGACAGTGACTACCTCGTTCATTTCTGAATCCAAACTCCTAGCACAGTACGAAGCACGTCGTAAGCACCCATACATATTTACGGAACAAACGGATAATTGCTTATGAGAACCTGGTCTAACTTCGGGGGTGCCTAGAAGTAAGTGCTTAAAACTAGGAGTGGGCATGGTGGGACTCTGAGCACCCTAAATTCGCTCCACGACTCGTCTCCTACTCCAATACCTTTGTAAGAGTGTAATGTGGACCCCTTTTTTTTAATTCCAAGCTATTCCCTTGACAGTCACCGTTAAGTCGTCACTCCCCAACAAAGCGCTGTCTTCCTCGCACACCACTCCACCCTCCCCGCCACCGCTCACCCAGCCGCGTAGTGCGCTCCCTCGGCGCCTTGGGCCTGTCTCCAGTCCCATGCTCTGTCTCCAGCTCCTCCTGCTGCTGCCGCGCTTGTTGCAAAATCCGTCGGGTCAGCCGGGGGCCCACATACTCTTCCTCTTCTTCTCGGGTCCCGCGGCCCCTCCGCTTTTCCCGGACCCCCTCCCGCACTGCATCCGCAGTCAGGATCTGCTCCGCCAGGGGCGCATGTTTTTCCCGATTCCCAGCCCCACGTGCCGCCTTAAATTTGGGCATTTTTCTCGAAAAAGTTGCCGGGAAGACTCACACGTGGGGACCCAGGAGAGAAGCAGAGTGCGCTTGCGCACTGAACTCCCAGTTCCCAAGAGGCCGCGCAAAGAGCACACCGCTCCCCAGCGTTCGGAGGCCAGAAGCACCATCAGGTTCACCCCACCCCGCTAAAAGAGCTCAAGATCCTCGCACCTGGCTACCCGAATACATTTATTGCTGGTTTCTGTAAGTGGCGGCAGTCCGAGCCATGCTTTCCTAGCTTCATGGACCCAGGCTCCGGGTGCCCAACCGAATACGAATTTCTGTAGCCGCAAACCTAGGGGCGGAAATTTAGAGGATGACGTTACTAGAGGCGTCACCGAGGGTTTGACCAGGCAGCTCTCTTTCCTCGTGGGCGCGTCTACTGGGCGCTCTGTTTTTACGTAACTTCCGGAGCCCCCTCCTTCGACCGAAGCTTTCCCTAGTGGGTTTCACTTCTTCGAGATCGCTGCGTTTCCACAGTTTGAAGCTGCAACCCTCCTGGCCCGACACCATGGGAGTGACTTGGTAGGACTGCGAGGACCGCTCGGGATTTTGTGGGGCGGGGCTTGGGATCGTGAAGGACCTTCGGAGCCTCGAGTGGACCTGGGAGGAAGAACTACCAGGGTCTGCAGTCCCCCAGGGAGCTGAGCAAGATGTCTCCGGGTTGTGGGGATGAGAGGGACACCGTGAGGGCTGCAAGTTCTCCGGCCCTGTTTCTTGGAAGATGAGCCCCTTCCTTCTGGAAGGCGGCAGGTAAAAGGTTTTATTCCAGAAACCCATGAATGGTTGTATACCTTCTTTTTTTCTTTCTGCCCGTGAGGCCATAGTACTACGAGGAATGGGACTTAAGCTTCGGAAATAGGATCTCCGGTCAGGCAAGACTGGAGGGAGTGGGGGATAGGCAAGGAGAAGACAATGTCTTTTTTAGGTTTTCACTGACTCTCCCTGCAGCCACAAAATGCAGTGAGACCAGCCTGTGTCTAGTTTTAGTTTCTCCTTTTTAACATCTCGGGTCAAGAGAAAAAAAAAAAAGTAGCCATTGAGAATTAGGAGATGAGTTTCTAGTTGCTTCACCTCTTCAGGACATATTTCCTACTATGTTGGATTACATGGTTGGTCTGGTTTCTATCGGCCTTTTGTCCCTAAAATGTTATGAGTCTCAGTTGGAAGAGGGAAAGGTGGGCCTAATGCTCTCAGAGGCATTATTTCCCAAATGCTAGGTTTCAGTACGTTTTAATATCATTCCATTCAAAGACATTAAAGCATTTTTCCAGTCAAAGGGGATGGAGCCCAGGATCTCTGAAGTCAGTGGCTGTAGGTTTCTCATGTAAAAGTGTGTGGGAATATTTTTTTCTCCTGGTAGCCCAGGCTCTTGCAGGCTTGCAAGTGATTATGCCCATGTTTCCCACAGTTGGTATCATGATTCACCTCTGAGTCCTCTAGCGTAAGAGGGATATATTAGGGTTGGGAATGAAAAGTTTGCAGCACAGAGGCTTGGGACCCTGGAAGCCCCTGACTGTCTGTTGGGACCCTTACCATTTTTTTTTTAAGAATCCTAGGACTTCTGTTTGTTATAGCTTCAGTTCAGGCATCCTCTTGTGTGTAAAAACAAGACACATCATCATTGTTTTTTATTTTATTTATTTATTTTATCGTTTTTTTAGTTCTTTTTCAGATAGAGAGCAGTGACAAAGTTTAGCAGTATTAGGGCTGTAATAGCTTCATTTAGTTGGTTGATCATAAAGTAATGCAGTGGCTCCCATGTTGAGTCATATTTGACTGTCTTCATGATTTTTGCCATAGCTAAGTACCCCATGTAGTATTTGTTAATGTTTTCTTTTAAATCTGTTTTTTTCTTTAAATGTATTTTAACAATCAACTACATCCTTAGAGAAGCAGTTTTGTATGGTGGTTAAAAGCATAGATTAGATTGCCAGATTGCCTGGCTTTGAATCTTGGCTACACCACACGTTAGATGTGTGACCTTGGGCAAGTTAGAACAGCCAGCAACAGCCTGAGTCTTCTCATTTATAACAAGGAGATAAGTAACAGCACGTTGTATACAACTGTTTAAAAATTCGAAGAGTTAATCCATCTAAAGGCTTTAGGACACTGCCTGGCAGATAGTAAGTGCTTAGTAATTGTTACCTATCATTCTAAAGAGGAAGCAGTTTCACTCACCATAGAAGGAGACCTTGGAAATAACATTTTTTTGTTTCATTGTATTAAATTCTCATAGATACTGTTGCCTCTCACCCCCAAAGATTATAAACTTGAGGCTGCTTTCTCTGTGTTCCTTGGTCTGTTGAGTAGAACTTTCTGCAGAAATGTTCTGTATCAGCACTGTCCAATACACTAGCCCCCAGCTACATGTGACTATTAAGCTCTTGAGATGTGAGTAGTTGAGGGAGTGAATTTTAAATTTTGTCTTATTAATTTAAATAGCTATACGTGGCTAGTGGCTACTGTACTTAAAACAGCCCAAGTTCAGAGTGTTAGAGAGTTGGTAAAAATGTACTAATTCCAAATAGATTTTCTCCTTGATTTAGTCAGAACTGAAAGAATTGAAAAGGGAATCCCTTTCTCATGATAAGACTCATCGTTATGGAATGCGCAATCTGTGTGCCACCTAAAATCTCTTGACTGGTGGCACACATACCACGCTTGGGAAATACTGGTGTGATAAGAAGTTCACTGCACCAGTGTGAGAGTCCTGAGGCCTATGCTTTGGTTTCTACAGGAGCTCTCAGGGATGAGGGGGTCAGGGTGGGTGGTCTTTGAGGTAACTCCTGGGACTGATGAGCTATGATTCTGTGAGTGAGTGAGTGGCTCAGAGAGGCCTTTGTGTCTCTGGATACTGATGATTTTGATCCTCTGTCTTTTAGTGTGTCCCAGATGCCTGTGGCTGAGGGCAAGAGTGTCCAGCAGACCGTGGAGCTCCTCACCCGGAAATTGGAGATGCTTGGGGCAGAGAAGCAAGGAACATTTTGTGTGGACTGTGAGACCTACCACACAGCTGCCTCCACCCTTGGCAGCCAAGGTCAGTGAGATGGGTCTGTAGGATGGTTGGAACCTAACTTGGAGTCGATGGACATTTGTGTTCTTTGAAGTCTGTCTGCTCTTCTGCTAAGAGTGGTATTCCTGAACAAGAACTTAATTCTTGGTCCTTCATTTCTTAGACTGGGGCTGTTTTTGGCTGTTTTTCAGTTTGAACTTTTTAAAGTGTGTTTCTCAAAGGGTTGGTTGGTGACCAAGTGCATCAGAATCACTTGGGTTACTTGTTAAAGGTGCAGAATCCTGGCCCCACTTACTGACTGACTGACTGGTGTTGCAGGCCTCATAATCTGCATTTTAACAAGCATCCCAGATGATCCTTATGTACTCTAAAGTTTAAGGAAGACTCCTTTTAGACTCGGAAATCTTTGTGTATGATTTTTTAAGTACTTTCTAACACTCAGCAGGTGGCTGTGGCCACCTCTTTAGCATAACCTTGACCAGCTTTTGTTTTAAATGTACATGGCCTGATGAGATAGGGGTGTGAATGATAGGGAGGGAAAGAGGATCTTTGAATATGAGTTAGGGATCCTGGGCTCTCTTGGTCTTGGCTCTGCTATAACTTGCCATGTGACCTTGGACAGTTCCATAGCACCGAGATTAAGAGCAGGGATTGTGGAGACAGACTCCGGAGTCCTGGCTCTGCCACTTACTAAGTGTACAATGTTAGGTAAGTCCCATAAGCCATCTGTTCCTAGCCTGTTTCCTTGCCTGTCATTTACCTGTTTCCCCTTAGATTCATGCTCTGCACTTCCAAACTCCATTTTCCAGGCCCCTTTTGAGTTACCTTCAGTGAGTAAGAGATAGTGGAGGACAATTGCAAGATGGGAGAAAGGGACACTACAGTATTTCTCTTCCTCTTCTTGGGCAGTGTCTCTGGCCACGGCTGTGTCTCCTCCTTGTTTTTAGCTCTTGCTAGGCAGGGCAGGTTCTTAGCTCTGATAACAACACATCTTCTCTTTTCCCTCCAGCCCTAGGGATGGTAGTAGCTTTCTGTGTTGCTACTCTGGGTTGCCTCACTGTCCCATTTGGTTTTTCAGTTCTTCTGTATTTTGTTCCCTTTATTAAATTCCCTCTGTTGCAACTATCTGGTACGGATTCTGTTTTTGGACCCTTTCCAATGCAGTTTTCTCATCTATAAAATGAAGATAATAATAGTATGTGAGACCTACCACACAGCTGCCTCCACCCTTGGCAGCCAAGGTCAGTGAGATGGGTCTGTAGGATGGTTGGAACCTAACTTGGAGTCGATGGACATTTGTGTTCTTTGAAGTCTGTCTGCTCTTCTGCTAAGAGTGGTATTCCTGAACAAGAACTTAATTCTTGGTCCTTCATTTCTTAGACTGGGGCTGTTTTTGGCTGTTTTTCAGTTTGAACTTTTTAAAGTGTGTTTCTCAAAGGGTTGGTTGGTGACCAAGTGCATCAGAATCACTTGGGTTACTTGTTAAAGGTGCAGAATCCTTAACCTACCTCCTAGTGTTGTTGTGATAAATAAATTAATGCATACAAAACAGAACTGAAGTCATGTAATAAATATTTAATAAAATGTAGCTATTGGCTGTACTGAGTTTCATCATTGGTAGAATTGCATGATTGGTTAGCATACCGTTTGTTTTGCCTTCAATAGGGAGGACATAAGAATCAAAAGAGATAATAGTTATGAAAACATTTGGAAAATAAAACATTTGTGTGTAGATATAAGGTAGCATATTACTTCAAGTGCAACTGCCTGGTATAGACTCTGTTTTCCTGATTGGACCCTTATTTTCAAAGAGCCTACAGTCTAGTTACGGAGACAGAACACATTTGTGGCAGCCAGTGGGGTGGAATGGAAAGAGCAGTAAACTTGGGGTTAGACAGCCTGGATTTGAGTTGCAGTTCTGCTGCTTATTGGCTCTGTTCCTTTAGCTCAGTGGTTTGTTAACATACATTGCTGGGCTCCACCCCCAGAATTTCTCACTTAGTAAGTTTGGAGTGGGGCCTGAGAATTAGTATTTCTAATAGTTTCCCCAGTGGTGCTGATGCAGCTGGCCCAGGACCCACACTTTGAGAACGACTTAGATAAGTCACTTTTTTCAGCTTCGTTTTCTTCATCTGTAAAAGAGGGGCAGGGCAGTAACTCTGGTTCTGCTTGCTTCACCAAGTTGTGCTGGTACACAAGTACTTGGTGATGCTAAAGCTGTGTTATTGTCTATAAATGACTAGAAGTGCGTTCTTCATGAAGTAAAAACTTAGTTGACTTTTAGAATCTTTTCAAGACAGTAACAACACTTGCAGACTCATATATTATGAATTAAGTGTAATTAACAGCGAGTAGACATGAGAACAGAATAATGAGATCAGCTTTGGATGCCGGTTTTGAACTGGATTTAGAAGGAGGTGAAAGGTGCGAATTGACAGCAAGGAGTCAGGAGGGATGTGGGGTGGAGGGTCTGTGCAGAGCCTTTTGTGTTCAGGAAATGGCAGCAGAGTGGAAGAGGTGAATAGACGCCCCCTGCTCCCACCAGACCTGTCCTCTCACTGTTTTCCATTGCTACACTCTTATCCCTGCCTGGGGTGTCTTCTTTCCTTCTCTGTGTGGCTGAATCCTACCTTCTCTTCGTATCCAAGTTCAGGTCCTGCTTTTTCTATGAAAGTTTTTCCTGCTGACGCTTGCCCACTTGGCTCTCTTCCTTCGCTGAAGTCTTTCCTTCCTTCCAAAAAATTTCTGGTCTATCCCACATATTTTGTGATCTTTTATTCTTCTTAAAAGTTTTTAGTCTATCTCTAGTGAGATTGTCAGCTTCTTGAGGTCAAGGGCTAAGTCCTCTACTTGTGTATCTCTCAAGTCCTAGCACAGTGTTGGGGATAGTTTACCGTCCTTAAACATTTGGGATTGTGTCAATCTGTCCATTAACTCTTACAGTGTATCAGGAAAGGAGATCTTGCTTTCCATTTCCTGCCTTCTTTCATTTTCCACGTAACCAAATATGTACAGCTTCCCTTCTTCCCTACAGAAAGCCTACAGTAATCAATGAGAAAACTAATTTCTTATCGAATGGAAGGGATGAGCTGGGGCTTAAAACTAGATCTTTTGATCCCAGATCCTGTGCTCTTTCTGCTGAAGTGTGCTGCTTCCCAAGTCCCTGTTGTTGGTTGCCATCAAGTTGATTCTGACTCATGGCGACTCCATTTGTACTGAGTAGAACTGCTACATAGGGTTTTCTTGGCTGTAATCTTAATGGAAGTAGATCACCAGGCTGGTGATCTCTTCCATGGTACCGCTGGGTAGGTGGTACCTCTGGGTGGGTTCGAACCGCCAACCTTTAGGTTAGCAGTCGAATGCAAACTATTTGTGACACCTAGGGACCTTTAAGGAACAGAAATGTATTTTCTCACAGTTTAGGAGGGTAGAGGTCCGAATTCAGGGTGACAGCTCTCAGGGAAGGTGTTCTCTGTCTCCTCTGGGGGAAAATTCTTGTCTCAGCTTCTCTAATATTCTTCTCTGCATTCCTTGGAGATCTCCATGTGGCATCTATCTTTCCCTATTTGTGCTTACTTGCTTCTGTGTCTAATCTGCACCTTTTATATCTCAAAAGTGACCATGTTTAAGACATACCATACACTGATAAGACCTCATTAACATGACAAAGAAAACTCTATTCCCAAATGGGATTATATCCACAGGTATAGGGGTTAGAATTTACAGCAAATACTTTCTGGGGACACAATTCAGTCTATAACATTCTACACCCAAAATTCATGTCCTTCCCACATGCAAAAACGCATTCACCCTATTACATTCTCCCCAAAGTCTTAACCTATTTCAGTATCAGCTCTAAGTCCAAGATCTCATGGACTTGATCATCTCAATCAGGTGTGACTCGGGGTTGTTCTATCCGGGGCAGAATTCCTCTGGACTTCTTAAAATTTTTCAAGGGTTCACCATGCCTTCAGGATGAAGTCCAAACTTCTGGAGGCATGATAAGACTTATCACAGCTTGGACCTGGCCCACCTTTCCAGACTCATGCTCAGGTCCTTCCCTTTGCTGCTTCTGTGGGGCCATTTCCTGTATATCTAAAAGGGAGGAGGCCAAGGTAGGTAGGGTTGGACAGAAGACAAATCGACTGATTCATTTGGCCTACCCAAATGCTATTAACTTTTATTTTACTAATTGTGTAGTATATGATATATACAAAAGATTATATGCAAAGTATTTGTGAGTTGTTAATCATCACGGTTAAGCATACATCTGTGAGCTCACCATTTAGCTTAAGAACTAAGCCATTGCCAACACTATTGAAGCTCCCTCTATGGCCGTCACTTTTTTCTATAGAGCAGGCTGGGTTTTACCACATGCTGCCTCACCTGCTGTTCCTCTTCCTTCCTGTCTGGAAAAGCTGTCAGTGTGGGGATTCCCCCACAAAGACTGCTGAGGTAATGCCAGATTACCACCTGGGCTTGTCCCATGCATTTGACTCTATCCTGGGGTTTGCTGATGAAGCAGGTGATGATTAACAGTATTTCTGTCGCTCGCAGGTCAGGCTGGGAAGCTGATGTATGTGATGCACAACTCAGAGTATCCTTTGAGCTGCTTCGCCCTCTTTGAGAACGGCCCTTGCCTTATTGCTGACACCAACTTTGATGTGCTCATGGTGAAGCTCAAGGGCTTTTTCCAGAGTGCCAAAGCCAGCAAGATTGAGACCCGGGGCACCCGTTACCAGTACTGTGACTTCCTAGTGAAGGTGGGCACGGTCACGATGGGGCCCAGCGCCCGGGGCATCTCTGTGGAGGTAAGACCCTGGTGAAGTAGGAGTGAGGATGTGCTGAAGGGGCTGCTTGGCAGAGGGTTCTAAAGAGTCCCAAGTCTCTTTTAAATGTGAAACAGAGATTTATGCCTACCTGATCCCTGTCTCCAGAGCATCTGTGCTCTCTCTCCTCTCATCTTTTGATCCTTTCTTTAATCAGTCAGGGAATCTCTAGCTTGGGATGAGAAATGGGAAGCCAGGTTCCAACAACTAGAAAGCTTAGAAAGGCTGGCTTGCTGGAGAAAGAAGGAGTAGTCAAATGAGGCAGGTGAATTATGTAGAGGGCCCAGTCACCCATCATAAGAAGGGCTGGAGCAGCCGAGGACAACTTTCGGTGTAGTTACCTCTTGGGACCAAACCCACTGCCGTCAAGCCAGTTCTGACTCATAGTGACCCTATAGGACAGAGTAGTACTGCCCCATATGGTTCCCAAAGCTGTAAATCTTTAGGGAAGCAGACTGCCACATCTTTCTCCTGCAGAGTGGCTGTTGGGTTCGAACTGCCGACCTTTCAGTTGGCAGCTGAGCGGTTTAACCACTGTGCCACCAGGGCCCCTTACCTTTTGGGACGTGGACCTTAAATCACATGTGTCCACACACTTCTCCTTAGAATGCTTTAAAATAAATCCCAGATGTTGTGTAGCAAAGATGTACCTATCTTTTTTCTATATTATATTTTTTCCTTGATGGAAAGGGGTGTGTATGCACGTGTGTGTATGATGACTTTATCTTTGAGGCTAAAGATATATATTGAAAATGGCAAAGAAGGACTGTGCCAGCAGCTGGCTTTGGGACTCATGAAAGGCCACAATCTACCAGGTGCCCAATGCCATGTGAGATAGAAAAAGAAGTAAGCTACAGCACCTGCCTTTTGAAAGTTTATGATTTAATAAGAGAGCAGGGCCGACCCATGCGAACTGTTTTTGAAGTTAGTTTGTAACAGATGCCATAAAAGAGGCACAGATTGCTTTAGCAGTTCAGAGGCCAGTGAGATCGCTGCTGACTTTGGGGATTGCATGTTTTCCGGAGGAGTAACATTTCAGTTGTTACTGTTGTGTGTCATTGAGTGGATTCTAACTTACAGCAACCCTATAGGACAGAGTAGAACTGCCCTGTAGGGCTTCCAAGGCTGTAAGCTTTATGGAAGCAGACTGCCACATCTTTCTTCTGTGGAGCGGCTTATGAGTTCAAACCCATAGCCTTTTGGTTAGCAGCCAAGTGCTTAACCATTGCGCCACCAGAATTTAAGTAGGGACTTAAAATGTAGACACATGGGGCCCAATAACATGTTTAGTGCTTCTGTTCTACCTCCTTGTTGTGTAGTGGCTGTGATCTTAAAAGCTTGCAAGTGGCCATCCAAGGCACAAGAGTTGGTCTCTTATTTGCCTGGAACAACAGAGGATGGAGAGTCAGGAATAGGAGGAGAAAATGGAATGTGTGGCTAATTGCCTCCATGAACAACTGCCTCCTTTGTCATCAGACCAGAAGAACTGATGGTACCCGGCTACCATTACTGAACATTTTGATCAAAGAGTCTTTAGAAGAATCCTGATCAAAAGCGGAAAAATGCAGAACAACATTTCAAATTCTCATGAACTCCAGACTTTCTGGAGCCATGGAGGGTGGATGAACCCTTGAAAGTATTGCCCTGAGATAATCTTTAGACCTTAAACCAAAAATACCCCCTGAAGTCTTCTTTAAACCAAACAGTAGTTTAGCTTAACTAGTAAAGAATGTCTGCCTTGAGCATTATGCTCTTTGAAGTTCTGTATTTGGGGTCAAAGGGAACAACAGTGACTCGAAACATTAGATAGGAACCTTAGGGAGCAGTGAGTTTATGTTAATGAGAGGGGAACAACTCAGAAGAGGAGGGTGAGAATGGTTGCCCAACTCAAAGAATAAAATCAAAGTCACTGAATTATACATGTAGAAAGTGTTGAATTGGTGTATGTTTTGCTGTGTATATTCTTTTTTTTATTATTTTTTTGTGATTTAGATGAAAGTTTACAGAACAGATTAGTTTCTCATTCAAAAATTTATACACAAATTGTTCCATGGCATTAGTTGCAGTCCCGCATTGTGTCAGCACTCTCCCCCTTTCCCTTTCCACCCCGAGTTCCCTGGTTCCATTTGTCCAGTTTTCCTGTCTCTTCCCACCTTCTCATCTGCTTTTGGGCAGGTATTGCCCATTTGGTCTCATATACTTGATTGATCTAAGAAGCATGTTCCTCAAGTGTGTTATTGTTTGTTTTATAGGCCTGTCTAATCTTTGGCTGAAAGGTGAACTTCGGGAGTGGCTTCGGTTCTGAGTTAGAATGGTTGCTGTGTATATTCTTAACAACAACAACAAAAAATAAAAGTATTTAAAAAAAAATGTAGAGACATGGGGACAGATAGGTCCTAGGAAGCAACCCAGGTGGAGAAAAGGGCATTAGTGCTAGTTACTCCTGTGTAACTCCAGGAGCCTCTAGGGAGGGCCACGATTTCCTAACCCTTTTTAGCTTTGATAGATACACTTTACACTTGCCAAAACCTGCTGGGGACTCACTGTTTATCCTCCACGTTTCTAACTTTATAGTGCAAACACACTCCAGTTGTTTCTTTACTTGTTTCCTCTTATGGTTACCAATAATTTCGCCCTGCCATCTCTCCAGTGAAAAATTAAGAGAGAGGGATGAGAAAATCTAAGATGTATATCCTTTGGCCCCTGCCACATTGATTGGGAAATTACTTCTTAGGGTCAGAGCCCAGGCTGAGTCTACCTTAAGAGTAATGTTTGGTCTTGAAGAGAGTCATGTGCTTATATGTATGTATTCTGCCCTCTACTGGTCTCTCTCTCCCTTACCAAACACATACATATCACATATTCTCTCTTTCAGTTTTCTCTCTCAGAGTTTTCCTGAGCTCCCTTGGATCTTCTCCCAGCATAGCAGGGACTACACAGTCCTGAAACAATGAAAGGGGGCCTAGATCTCCCTTTGGGTCTTGTGGGAGGGCTGTGGGTTGGCACAACTCCAAGATGAAAATGTCAAAGAAAATATTTAAAGGGAAAGATACTGGGTGCATCTAATTCCTGATGTTTGGGTTGAGTATTTTCTGTGGACCAACACTGTACTGGAAGGTGTGTGTCTGTGGTTTAGGGTTGGGGAAGATGGGAGCAGGTGCCAGGAGGTGCAAGAGAAGCGGAAGATCTCGCCCTTGCCTTCGCTCACTCTCAATCTCTGTTCTTTTGGCCCCCAGGTGGAGTATGGTCCCTGTGTGGTAGCCAGCGACTGCTGGAGCCTGCTGCTTGAGTTCCTACAGAATTTTCTAGGCAGCCACACGCCCGGGGCTCCCACAGTGTTTGGGAACAGACACGACGCCGTGTATGGCCCAGCAGATACCATGGTCCAGTACATGGAACTCTTCAATAAGATCCGCAAGCAGCAGCAGGTGCCGGTGGCTGGGATTCGTTAGTGACTGGCAGCTGCCTGGCTGAGCTTTGTCATCAAGGGGACTCCTCAGGAGGAGCAGGTGCTGCACCCTCAGGCCTCTGGGCCCCAGAGAACCAGGGCAGTTGAGGAGGCTTCTCTCTCCTCCAGTTCCCAGCTGTGGCTTTTGTTCTAGGACGCCTCTCCCTGACCCTCACGCACAGTCCCCCTGCAGCTGTCTCACCCTAAGCCTCACGGGACTTGGCTTGTCCAGGAGAACAGTAATTATGAAGAGTGGAGAATTTTGGACCTTTCCTGCTTTAGGGGAAAAGGTAGGACAGGGGCATCCCTGCTTAGTGTTGGTGCGAAAGCAGTCTGTATCTTCAGCTATTGAGGAGTTGGCCTTGCCCCACAAATGGACAGGCTGCATTCTGTGTTTGGACTGTACTATAATAAAGGCCTCTTCCTTTACTCAAAGGATGTGACCAGGCCTCTGTCCTGGACATGGGATGGGAGGGAGAACTTGTTTGAAGGCTGTCATTTTCTGACCTGTTTGCCGAAGTGAATTATGAACTGACTTCTCTAGAGTGTTGCCTGAGTCATTTGTTGTCTTTCTCTGATATCTTTTCATTCTGTTGTGAATTATGTTAAGCCACAGGCTAAGCTGCTGAAACAAAGAGAACCAAAAGTACAGTGACTCTTTTGGATAGAAGTTTATTTTTCCCTCACCTCATAGTCCAGAGGTAGGCAGATGATCCAGGACAGATTTAACTCTGCAGGGTTATCAGGAACTCGGGTTCTTTCTGTCTTGTCGTTCAGCTAACCTCTAGGGTGTTGTCCTTATCCACAGGTCACAGCAGACTCATCAGCTCCATATCTTCATTCCACTGGCGGAAAGACAGTGGGGAAGGGAAAAAAAAAGTTTCTTTTTAAAAGTACATAACCTAGAGAAGTGAAAATCACTGTGGCTGTGCTTTGCAGAAAGAGAAAACGTAGCCTCTTGTGTTGGTGGTCATGTGCCCAGTTGAAACCCAGAGGGTCTGTGACTAAAAGTTGAAGGGGAATATGGATGCTGGGGCACAGTTAGTGGCCTCTGGTACATGGAGCTCAATGGATGTAACTAGGAATGCTCTTAGCTGTTATTTTGCAGTTAATAACCTGTAACTAAGGGGTTTGTTTATGAGTTGGGTGGGAATAAGGGCCGATCCCAGAGCCACTTCCAATTTAGCTGGATTAAGCATACTAGGAAGTCAATTCCGTATCCCTCACCTAAGTCTCAGCCCTCTCCAGCTGTCAAAGCCAGCATCGGCATTGAAGCCTTTCTAGTTCTTATGTGCACAGACCTTAGGGTAGACTCTTGACCCTGACACACACACCATGCTCCATGGTTTCCTGAGCTCTTTCTTCTTGTTACATTTGAGCCTCCAGGCCACTCGTTTGACTCATATTGCTTGCCCACACCGCTCCTGCTAGAGAAATGTTCAGCCAGGCTAACAGTGAGGTGCACAGTCAGAGATGGCCTGAGGAAGCCCGCTAAGGTACATACTGTAATGTTGTCATCTATAGTTACCCCCGCAAGAGCGGAAACTGGGAAACCATTAGGGTCCTGTCAGTATGCCACCTTGGCGGGCACCTTTGCTAGAGCCACACAAATCTGCCAACCTTGACTGTTGGAGTTGCACAGGATGGCTTTAGAGCTCATCTAGTTCTTCACTGTAAGACAGTGAGGCTGTGGCTTCCAGAGAGCTCATGCAGAGAGATGAGGGTAGAGTCAGGACCAGACTTCAGACTTAGGACTCCTGGCTACCAGCATGTGCCAAAGCAGCAACTGAACCTCTGTGGGGTGCCAGGTGGCTTCAAGTAGAATGTGGAAAATATTTTTATATTAGTACTTATGTCTTTTTCTAATGTGTATTAGAGAGAAGTGTAGCTAGCACTTTATTCCTGAGGATGAGGGTAAGAAATGCTGTATTCTACAAGCTGTCCAGTCCAGTTTTTGTACCCATTGATGGTTCCTGCTGTGATTGTGCTTTCCTATCTCCCCGGTGCTGTTCTTATTCTCTGTATCCCTGGTCCCATGCTGCTTCCTGCTTACTTTCATCACATCTTTAGCTTGAGCAGAGAACTGACTACCAGGTAGTCATACCCCCCACCTGCCGCCAATTTATTGGTGTCAGTGCTCCACTGAAGGAAATACCTAGAAACTGACCACTCCTCTCCGCCACCAGGTCTACCCTGATCTAATGTGTGCAGTATTCATTCGTGAGGCTTCAGGGTGAGCAGTTGGTAAGATTGTCTCTCCAAATCCTGGAGGGTAAGGGAAGTGGTTAGAAATTCCCACCTAAGCATGTCTTCCAGCTATCAAAAGTTGAGACTCTTAGAAATATAAGTATATAGGAAGCCAAAGGGCTGGACAGTTTTCAGGACCTTCACAGTAAATGTAGAGCCAGGGGAGACCGATGTGTTGCCTTGCTGTTTCCAAGCTCAAACCTGTAACTCCCAATCCTACCTTTCCCTCACCACAGCCTCCCTCCCCATATCTGTTGCTGTCTGGGTGCCTTGGGCTGTAGGCCTTGATCACTATTGCCCTGTGGAATGGCTTAACCAATTGTATTACAAGTTTGGAACTATCGTGGGGTTTGGTGTCTTTGTCCTTTAAGCAATCACTCTTGGGGGTGGGCTGTCCCCCAAGGTGAGTTTCTGCCATTCTGTAGAGCATTCCCAAATCAGTCTCTTGGTTTAGAAAGGACCCTAAGTCCACCTAGTTTAACCATTATTCAATACTCAATCTCTTTTACGCCATCCCTACAAAGAGGTCCTGCGGCCTTGGCTTGGCCTCGTCTAGGGAAATCTTTTCCTTGTGTATGCAGTAATCTTTTCTTATTAACTCTGGGACAAAAATCAAAACAAAAAAATCTATCCGTTCTTTCCCTCCCAGATTGTGGAGACTGCACACAGTATTGTGCTTTTTGAGGGAATTTATTTATTTTATTGTACTTTAAATGAAGGTTTACAGAACAAGTGGTTTCTCATTAAACTGTTAGTACATATATTGTTTTATGACAATGGTTAACAACTCCACTGTCAGCACTGTCCCTTTCAACCTTGGGTTCCCTGTTACCAGCTTTCCTGTCCCTTCCTGCCTTCTTGTCCTTGTCCCTGGACTGTTGTGCCCCAAAGTCTCATTTTGTTTTATGGGGCTATCTGATCTTTGGCTGAATGGTGAACCTTGGGAGTGACTTCATTATTGACCCAAAATGGTGTATAATGGCCATACTCTAGGGGTTTCTCCAGTCTCTGTCAGGCCAATAAGTCTGGTCATTTTTTGTGAGTTAGAATTTTGTTCTACATTTTTCTCCAGCTCTGTCCAGGACCCTGTCTTGTGATCCTGGTCAGAGCAATCAGTGGTGGTAGCTGGGCACCATCTAGCTGTACTGGACTCAGTCTGGTGGAGGCCGTGGTAGTTGTGGTCCATTAGTCTTTTGGACTGATCTTTCCCTTGTATCTTGTTTTCTTCATTCTCTCTTGCTCCTGAAGGGTTGAGACCAGTAGAGTATCTTAGATGGCTGCTCACAGGTTTTTAAGACCCCAGACATTGAGGGAATTTATTGTCAGCTCATGCTGGAGGGTGAGAGAACTATGACTCTAAGTCAGGGTTCTTAACCTGCAAGGTATTGAACTCCTTAGGAGAGTTTACGAGGGCTAGGACGCCCTGAAACTCGACATGGAATTTTGTGTAGATGTATAGTTTTTTGGGAATAGGATTTATAGGTCTCATTATAGTGTCTGAAAGATCTGATCTGAAAAAAAAAAAATCTAAAGGGAGAACGAGTCCTGAAGGAGAAACAGGCAGACAAAGTTAAGCATGCATGTTTGAGCTATGTCCAACTGGATTTTGGTGTACTAGACTTTCCCCTGCCTTTTGGACCCCACATCTAGGTTCCTATCCAGGAGATTTTTCCTCCTTCATTTTATAGTCCTCCAGCCTTTCAGTCAGTTTCTGGGAAGATGGACCATGTTCATGTTCTTATCTTTCCTAAAAGTTCCCCTTCTCCTTTCTCCTTTTCTTTCTATACACACACACACACACACACACACACACACACCCACCCACACCCTTTTAGACATGGTAGGAGTAAATATGTATGAAGCAATCTTTATAGCTTCCTTTGTGCCCCCAGGAATGACTCTTCATTATGACACACTCCATGGGATCTGAATATTGTTCTCTTTGTAATGGAATTTGGCATAATGAGTATATTTTCATTTTTCAGAATGACATGATTGAAGAGGCAGAGAAATAGTTACTTGCCTTTGTGGTAAAATTAGCAAGTTAAAAAACAACAACAACAACTTGGGACCATTAGGGCAAAGATTCCTAATTCTCTTGCATTCTTTATTTCCCAACACACCCTGCCCGACCAGATAGCATAGACCTATTTTTAAGGTTAATATAAATTCTACTGAATTTTCTTTGGAAGCTTTTTAAAAGAAAGGATTTAGGAACCACATTTATAGATCGTAGATTATCCCAAATCCTGAATGTGAAATTGGAAATGTTGTGTAGGAGAGGCGAGGCTAGGAATGTGGCAGTGCCAGATGTTCTGAGGCAGCCTGCTAGAGGGACAAGAACACTGCTTTAGGAGACAGATGGGTTGGGTAGTGAGTGGCCATGGATAGCACTGAACTGATTTGCTAGGTAACTTCAGTCAGGTTGGCCTTTCAGGGTCTCATCTGTAAAGTGGGACTAACGTTAACCTACTTTCCATATTTCTTAAGGTTGTTGAGAGGCCCAAAGGAGAATAGACATGAAGAATGCTTTGTAGGCAAGGAGATGCTGTCTCTGTTCTTGCATCTTTTTAATGATGCTGAATGTATTGGTGTTTAGTTAGGATGTTTAAGGTGGGAGCTTATGGGGTCATTGCTGCTTGGTGGTGGGTTAAAATTCTCCCCCAGTACAAAGAGTATTTTTGTAACAGAACAAGCAGTGCAGAGAAAGTATTTGTCATACAGGTGTATTTTTTGTAACCAGATCAGTGAGCACAGTTGATGTGGACATGGAATTATATTTTAATACTTGTTAAAATAAGTGTTAGAATACATTTTCAATACTTATTCATACTGCTGAAATTTTACTTGTCTTACAACTTAAACGAAAAGAGTCTGCTGGTCTTAAAAAAAAAAAAAAGAGTAGAAGTGACTGTATGTTTTATGTGTAACAAATCCATCTACGTTTTCCCTCATCCCCAAGCTTTAGTCAGGCCTGTCCCGTCTTTTTTTAAATGCAATGTATGATTGCACTTTTAATCAGTTGTGTCTTTAAAGAAAGTTT